AACACTTGGACATTCCCCATTGAGGAAAGTGCCCTGGGTAAGGCTGGCCAGCTTGTAAAGGCCTACCACTTACGGCTTGGGATGTCAGCCAACCTCACGAGAGATGGGCCTTGGGCATGGAAGCTCCCTGGGCTTCCGGGTTGGTGACAGACATGGATGGGGGGCAGGAGGGGCGGGAGAGGGAATCCTGGAAGGGATATGGACTTCATCCCAGACACGACTTCACCGGTCCCTCCTTTGTTACAACAAAAAGCAGTTGTAAATGGTGCTGTCGGAGATCCGGAAGCCAGAAGTGGGAGTATGTGTTGTGGGTCCCCCCGCAGCCTTGTGGCGGCCGTCTGGAGGATGTTGCCCTGTGACTTGTGAGCGCTGAGCCCGCTCCCGGTGGCCAGGGCCAGCAGCTGGCGTAGGAATTGAAGCAGTGAGGCGGGGCTCGGGACATTTGGGGTGTCATGGAACTGGGATTTTGTTTCAACTGGTCGTGACAAGCGTACCCTAACAATGTATAACGTCACCTGCAGGGACAGCTGGGTGCAAAGGGTGCAGGGACTCTTGTGTTCCGCTTCTGCAATTTATCCGTGTGGGGGAAAGGCCAGCCCCCACAACTAATCACGGGTTCAGTAAGCGCAATTGTACGACTGAGATATATAAAGATTATCATAAAGTCATAGAGAATAAGGAGAGATAGAGGGATATTGAAATAATGGAGTCAGACACAATTCATGGTAGCATGCTCACCTCCTGGATGGCCGTGATCTTACCAGCCAGGTCCTCACACAGCACGGGCCTAGAGGGCAGGGGAGAGAGGGCAGCGGAGAGAGCTCTTTATTGCTAACTAAGGCTTGTATCTCTTTAGGGTGCGTGATTCCAGGTAACCACACACTTCACAGGAAGGGGCTGTACAATAGGATGGGGATATACAATGGGCATGGGCTAAACAGGAAGGGGATGAGCTAGGGGTATATGTGTGACAGGAAGGGCAGACCCTAGATTCATGATGGCAGCCTAACCTTGGTCACCCTTGAGTGGGCTTGACCTCCCTGGGCTCTCCTTCAGGGAAACAATGTACTACTATCCTTATCAGAAGGGAGTGGGCCCTACTTGTTGTGGGATAGACAGTGGTGTCTGCTTGCTCTGGATGGCTGATAACCTTTAGGGAGAATAACCCCTGACATATTTCTGTTGACCTCCAAGTGTATAGTCACTCACAAGCAGCTAAGTTTGGCATATATTTGGGGGAGACAACTTGGGAGAAATCTTTCTGTTTCCTACCTATTTGGACATCTGCAAATGTTCAAAAATGAAAAGGCCATTTAAGTTAAAAAGAAGAAGAAGATCCAAAGCTCTCTGTACCCCAATCACCGCAGACAGGATGGATACATCCAGTTTTGTAAATGTTATCAAGAGGGAACGGGAGGTCAAGAGGAACATTACGGGGGTGGGGTGGGGGAGGCTTTAAAAGGAAATGGAAGGTTTAGTTCTCCCGAAGTAAACTATCTCTTTAGCCTGTCGCTGGTCGTGGAATTCACTTTGAGTAAACTGCAAGTACAACGTGACAGTATTTTATGCAAACATTTAACCAGGGACAGCAGCCTGTTAATGGGTGGTGGGATTGTATCTAGAACAGTGCTACACCGCATCGAATTCATGGCATTTCCTTTTTGGGGGTGCGGGGGAAGGGCTGGGGTCCAGCCTCGTATTGGGCCCTGGGTAATGAAGGGGCACTTTGACTTGATTGTCTCCTCCAAAGTGTTCGAGCTCATAGATTCCGTAAACACCTGCAAGTGTTTCTATACGAAAAGAATTCAAAAGATTTGCCTGCTGCATCATCCCCAAATAGATACGAATAGAAGGGTGCCCTGAGGCAGGGCGGGGCAGCGACCCTCCCTGGGCCTGGAAGCCCCCCTTGGGCAGGTCCTGCCCTGAGGAGCTGGACTTTTCTCAGGGTGCATTGCCCCTGGAGTCAAGCCTAGCAGCTGGTACCGCCAGGGTCAGGCAGGGCAGAGGAGGAGGGGCTGTGACGGGGCGTGCAGTGGCCTGGTGTCCTGGCCGAGCCAGCGTGGGGGTCGAGGGGGGCGTTTCCTTCGCTCCAGGGCGGCCGCGGGGTTCTGGGGCACCAGGCTGAGGGTGCAGGTCTGGGGCCTTCGGGGCGGGC